TACTGTCCCTGAATTCAAGGAGCCTACTAGAGGAAAATGTGCTGTGCTTAGTCACATCTGACTCTTTGTGACTGCATGGATTGTAGCCCGCCAGCCTCTTCTGTCTACGGGGATTCTCCAGACAAGAATACTGGAGAGGGTTGCCATGCCCTCCTCCAGGGGATCTTCCCAACCCAGGGATCGAACCCAGGTCTCCCGCATTGCAAGCAGATTCTTGACCATCTGAGCTACTAGGGAAGCCCAAGAATACTGGAATGGGTAGCCTATCCCTTCTCCAGGGGATCTTCCCGACCCAGGAATCGAACTGGCATCTCCTGCGTTGCAGACGGATTCTTTACCAGCTGAACTCCCAGGGAAGCCCCACTGGAGGACAATAGATCTGTAAATAAATGTATAGTGGAAGCATTGTAAGTATTATGCTAGAAGCCAGAAACATGGGAATCAGTCTTGATTTCTTCTGTCCTATTAATTCTGCCTAAATTTGTCTCCATCCTACCAGCCTTTCTTCATCATCACTACTAGCACCTTAAATACAAGCTGCTTTTTCTGTTTTCCACCTGGCTATCTCCTCAACCTTCAGATTGCAGCTCGGGTCACTGTCCTCGTGAGTTCATTCTTACATCCTTCTTCATTGTCTTTTGGGGGCGCTTGTCAATTGCAATTACACTTGTGTTTTTGTGATTTTTTTTTTTTAATGTCAGTCTATCCCACTGGACAATGAGCTGCAGGAAGTCTGAGGTCAGCTCTCTTGCTTCTGGTGCTTGTACCTGGCATATTCTGGGACTTACAAATTGTTGAATAAATGAGTAATTAAATAATGAGAAAAGAAGCCATTGTGACATTTTTGCTTATCACTGCTAGACCCAAACAGTGCAAACAGAGGGACTTTTAATGGTGCAGTTTGCTTAAAATTTTAAAAACACGAGAAGACCATGACTCACTAATAAAGGACCTAAAGTGCCTTCTCATCCCTAAAAAATTAAATTATGAGCAGTGTGAAAACAAAAGCCTCATGATTAACTAATTACTAATTACTAATTAATTAAAACTAATGTACATATAAGACATTGAAAAGTTGCCAAAACATTTTCCCATCTTTTTCTTGTAGTTAGGAAAGACAAAGAATTAATAACTCTAAAGTTGAAAACGGAAAAGGAAAAGAAAGAACTTTGAAAAACATTTTAAACCTTCTGCTGAACTCACCTATAGGCTAAATTTCAAAAGCATTAGTATAGAGTTTTCAAATTACATTTAAATAAGTAAAAAGTAATTTCAGCTTTATTTCGGCTTTATTTTTGAAATAATTTTGATGTTTTGTTTGACACAGTACTACATGTTTGCTGTGTTCATGAATTGTAGAGTCAGAGACAAAAAGAAACTCAACTGAGACATCATACTATGATGCTCTTTTTCCATTTCCAGTTTAAATGAAAAATGTTCCTACAGTTCTGTAGTATTTTTAATCATTGGAGACCTTTCTAATATATTTACTTCCCATGAGTCAGTGATTTCATCAGCAAAGAGACAAAAAGGCACCAAATAGTATATGTGCTAGACCAAAACAAACATTTCACTTAAAAATAATATGTCTTATTTGACCACTGAATGATATATGTGGCCTAACTTCTCCCAATTAAAAGGAGCCAATTTTACTGGCATGATAGGCATATGAAAGTCCTGAGATACATAGAACTTCTGGAGCCCTAGAGTCCGGAGGAAGACTGCAGGAAGAGAACTTGCCCACTCCCTCCATTGCACTTGCAAGAAAACCTGGAGAAAAGCTCACCTCCTCCTTACAGTTCACCCCTTCCTATTGCAACGTAACAGAAGAATTCTGGCAGTGTATACATATCAGACTGTTAACAGTGATTGCCATCGGAACGTGGGAATGAAGAAAAATAAATTTCTTTTTGTTATTTATTGAAAGAGCCGTTGCAATTAAAAAACAAATTACATAGTCACATTGCTATGTTTTTGGTTTTCTCAACTGATTTAGCTTATGCAGTTTACTGTCTTTAACTTGATATTTTTGTTAAGACATTTTAATTTGGTTAAAATTATTAATATTAATTAAATCTGAAGCTTGGGATCTCTCTATTTAGCAGATCCTCTGAAGGCAGAAACTGGCATCATTGTTCCACATCCATTTCTGGGATTCAGTGTTCACATGGTTTTTACCTGAGTGTTCCTTGCTGATGCTTTTATGAAGTTTTTCTGGTGTTTGTTTGTTTTTCTGTATTATGTAGAATTTGGGGTTTTTTCCAGTAGGAGTATTGGTCTAGGCACCTAGTCAGCCATTCTGCTAGGAATGAATGTCTCATTGTTTTTGCACTGTAATATACACTTTGTATGTTACATAATTTCATAATTACATTAGAATAACAGTCAATAATGCTATTAGGACATTCACTAGACTAGCCCTCCTTTCACCAAATAGTAACCTTAGAGTGTTAGCATGCATTTTGTTTCATGAGGGTTTTGCAAAATACACAGTAATACTTGCATTATGTTAAATTTATGTTAAAATTAGGATGGTGTGAATCTGTGGTGTGGAACTGGGTGGGGCCATGACCACCCATTAAACTGTGTATTAGAGCAAATTCAAACTTTTTGAGTAGAATTTCAGCCCTCCTGCATGTGTGACTTTCTGTGTCACACTTGTTCAAGCTAAAGTTGGATGGTTTCACACATGTGCCCTTATTAGTAACCAAATTTTCTTAAGGCCACCTGTCTTGTCCTCAGTGCTGCCTTATCCTTTAACTGGCCTAAAATAACAAAAGAACAATAAAAACTGTTTTCCAGAACCTTGTCAGGAGGGTATAAACAAATCCATGTTCAGTTCAGTTCAGCCACTCAGTCATGTCCGACTCTTTGTGACCCCATGAACCTCAGCACACCAGGCCTCCCTGTCCATGACCAACTCCTGGAGTCCACCCAAACCCATGTCCATCAAGTCGGTGATGCCATCCAACTATCTTATCCTCTGTTATCCCCTTCTCCTCCTGCCCTCAATCTTTCCCAGCATCAGGGTCTTTTCAAATAAGCCAGCTCTTCGCATCAGGTGGCCAAAGTATTGGAGTTTCAGCTTCAGNAAATTCTAAAAGAAACCATTTTTTATGGTTTGTATTTAATTCATTGTACTGAAAAAAAATCTAAATCTCAAATGAAGTTAAGAGAGCTGGTACCTGGATTAAATGACCTTCCCATAGAAGGATTCTGCTAAACCACCGTTTGGTGTAATGCTGACTCATGAGGAAGAACCCATGAAGCAACATCTCTGTGTTTCCTTAAGGAATGTTGAGGATGCTCTTCATTACCTAAGTATAGGATTAGGTAATGTGAATTCCTATGGATGAATTTCCTTCTGAAATTTCCAAGAGCAATTTGGATGTAGACACTATGAATTCAGGGCCTGGTCATGTCTCCTATTCTGCTTTGACTGCTGCAAGGCTTAGCATCTCAAGGTCCTCACTGTCAAGTATATACAACTTCATGAATATATATTTTTGTTTACCAGTCTCGTTACAGGTTTGAATTGACTTTTCTACCCTTACTTTTCCTTTAACTTATATATTTTTTGCTGTATTAAGTGCATATTTTCAAAACCATTGTTAACATTTTTTGGAACAAAGTGGGTATGTACAAAATCATTTGATTATTGCCTCAAATAATGCAAATCAGTGAATAACCATGTTTCAGGAATGAAAGATACAATTATATATTTACTTTTGCTTATAAACATTATCAAGATCTAGAAAATTAGATTTCAGTACAATTCTGTCTCTAGATCCAAATGAACAAATATGCAAAAACAGCAGAGACCACTTTTATAGTTTCTGAGAAAGACCGCAGCCTGTACCCTCATTTGTTTGGACAAGAAATTTTTCAAAAGTAAAATCACTCTCCTTAAATATTGTGTAGATTTCAGTGATCTGATTAATGGGCTGTTTATTCATTGTCTCTGTGGTACCCCACAGTGGATTATCCATAGCAACAGTCCTTTTCAAACTTAATAAGACCAACTCTGTATTTATTAGGGAAATAATAACCACCGGGTTAAACAAACTGACTGTTAGTTCTGTGTGTTTACTCTCTTTCAAAGAGATCTGCTAAACCTTCAGCATGTCCCATGTTGTAGATGATTAGGCAAGCTGAATTGGTAGGCCTCTGTGATTCTGAATATGCCATTTTTGTGGTGTATGTAGAGTCAAATAATAAAGATGATGAGCAAATAAAGCTTCAGACATAAAGTACTATTTTGTGCATTGAGAGCAGGACAAAATTCTTCTCTGAATAGTAGAAATCAGGGATATATTATGATAAATATTACCACTCCCAGTCTATAGAGGATAAATAGAATATTTAATTTTGGCTGAGGAAAACATATTTCAGTTTTTCTTGCCTCTAGAAATTACATTGATGTGGAATCTATAAGAAAGGCCCTGCCTCAGAAAAAAGATAATTTCAGAATTACAGAGATTTTCATAAGAGAACATATTATTTTTAAAGACTTTGAATTGCTGTTGAAATGTAAATTAAACCTACAGTCTGTTCATGTCACGTGTTGAGAAATGAAGTGGTATTTAAAAACACAAAATGTTAAGAGTTCGTGTAATCCAATATCCTTATTTTACAGCCATGAATAATGCTTTTAGAATTGCTAAAAAAAGCCTAGTTTCTTTCATCTCAAATGTCCTTGGACAATATTAAAAAAAAATGAACTATAACTTCTGTCCTATAAAGTATACTAATGGGAATACAATAAACTTCTACAGGAGTGCATTGATTAATAATTCCATTTGGTTTTTGTCTTTTTATATACAGTAGAAAACATTTTTTTCTTTATTAGATTTTTACGTAGATTAGTAGTGGGGCTCTGCATTTATGAATTGGTTGAGCCTGTTTGATAAAAATCTTTGCTATGTTTAATATCTGGTTTTTCTTAAAAGTTTTTTTGTAGTTTTAATATTTAAATTATTTATTTTTCTTTATATTCACAGATTCTGGAACTTTTCAAAGCCTGACCCTCTTCTTGAAACAGTGGAACATCATACAGAATTTACTTGTGGTTTAGATTTAAGTCTTCAGAGTCCTACTCAGGTAATGGATCAATCTCCTCATATTTTTTCCTACCCATACAGTTTACAAATAGCTCTACGTGTGGCATGCATTGCTTTTATGAACAAAATTCTTGCCTTTAGGGCAAGGTAAAGTACATTTACTTAAGAAACCTGACCTTTTTCACTGTGTAAACTTGAGCATTTGAAATACTAGGGAAGAAGAGGTATCCAGAAACCTGACATACTTTTTTCCTCTTGAAGGGTTAACTTTCCTGAGAGGAAAAGGAAACTTCCCCCAAACTATTGTGCCTAACTTGTAGACCTCCTCCGAAGGAAAGAAAGGGTAACAGGAGAAGAGTGGAGTGAGGAAGGATCGACCCCAGAGGTTGATGGAAGTCAAGAGTGTGTGGCCCTGGATTCAGCTGTCCGCTAAGCAGTCCAGATTATGGGCCTGTCATTTCCCTCTCAGGACGGTCACCCTCTCTCCTCAGGCCATGTCAGAAGAGAGGCTCCACATGGGGAGCAAAATAAAGGAGAATGGCTACTGTTTCAGTTACCAAACTTCATCTTTCCCCCTTTTTGTTCTCTTGAGGACTTTTTTGAATTTTAAATATTCTTCAGATTTTTTAATAAAGTAGTTTCAGTTTTGGAAAGTGTAAACTCAGATCAGAAACACTTGACTACCTTGACTGATAAGATACTTTAATAATGCAGGCTATGTGAAAATGCCATCATATTACTGAAACAAAATAATATGTGGAAATTCTACTGTATGACTAAGAAGTTATGCATTTATGATAACTTTTAGAAGTTAAACACAAAGCAAATTCTGTTTCTCATTACTGTGTTCTTAAATTTAAATGAATACATGGGTTTCTTTTTGTTTTAGAAATTCAAGACATAATTCTAAGTTTAAAATATTCCCATTATATGTTAAAATATTCTCATTAGCATTAGAATAATTGTTTGAAAATGACTTGGTAGCATCTAAGAAGAGAAGAAATTGAAATAATGATGAGTGAAATGGTATGATCCTTAATGTAAATACAATGTGCCTTAAATATATTAGTTCCTTTTCTGAGAAAAACATTTATCATAGAAGCTATTTTTAATAAAATAATTATACATGTTTGCTATTCCAGTTTATAAAAATGTTGTAATGTGCCTATTGAAGCATGACAATACCCCAAAAGGGACCCTAAATTAGGTATTTTCCTTCTCCTCTATTTCTGTTGATCCATCTCTACAATCCCCAGTCTGTGGCCTGAGGCAGTAGATGTGCATCTATGATGCATGGCATCTCCTCATCCAGGTCTTGGAGAGTGCCAAATGTCAAATTGGTGTTTTCACTTTCTTCAGATAAATACCGAGAAGTGTAATTCCTGCATCATATAGTAGTTCTATTTTTAATTTTTTGAGGGATCTTCATTTTTTCCCCCATCGTGGCTGTACCAATTTGCATTCCCACCGACAGTATATAAAGGCTCACTCTTCTCCACATCCTCGCCACCACTTACTATCTCTTGTCTTTTTGTTAAGAGCCGTTCTCACAGGTGTGAAGGGATGCCTCATTGTGGTTTTGATCAGCATTGCCCTGCTAAATAGTGACCTTGAGCACGTATTATACCTGTTGGCCATCTGTATGGCTTCTTTGGAAAAATATCTATTCACTTCCTCTGCCCATTTTTTAATCAGATTATTTGTTTTTGGTGCTAAGTTATACGAGTTCTTTACATATTTTGGATAGTAACCTCTTATCAGATATATGGCTTGCAAACATAGTCTCCTGCTCAGTAGGCTATCTTTTCTTCTTTTTTGATACTTTCCTTCACTGGGTAACATCTTTAGTCTGATGTAGTCCCACTTGATTTTTTTTTTGCTTTTATTGCCTTTGCTTTTGGAGTTAGAGCCAAAAAATTGCTACTAGGACCAGCGTCAAGGAGCTTACTGCCTATATTTTCTTCTAGGAGTTTTATAGTTTCAGATCTTACATTCAAATCTTTAATCCGTTTTCATTTTTGTTTATGGTGTAAGATGGTGGTCCAGTTTCATTCTTACTGCACGTGGCTATCCTGTGATTTGTGTTTTAAAAGATCGTTCTGGCTATTGTGGGAGAACAAACCATAGGTATGACTAGAAATGTAAAGATGGAAAGATTCAGAATACATTTCTAAATGTTTCATATGATTTAACATTTTCAGTGATTAGTTTATACTTTTCTTCTCCCTGTAAATTTATCTTTTTCCCTTTATTTTATTTATATTCTGTCTTGGACTTTACACTTTCCTTTCAAACTAAGTTTTTTTAAAACCAGCATTTTTTTTTAAAAGAGCATATCTAAAATCATCACATTTTAATGCAAGCATTTGTTTTATTTATATTATTAATGTATAGTTTTACCAAGTAACATTAAACTCCTTCCTAGGGGGAATAAGCATCAAGTTCTTAGTTCACCTCCCTGTCTTCCTCTCACTTATCTTATCTCAGTTATCTTTTGCTAACAAAACAATAAAAAAAAACAAAAAAAGATAAAAAGTTCTCTTTTGTAACAAACTCCCTTACAACCTAGTAGTTTAAACAACAATTTTCTTTGCTTACAATTAATTCTGTGATTCAACAATTTATACCAAACTCAGCCAAGTAGTTCCTTTATTGATCTCACCTGGGGTCACTCATGTGACTGCAGTCATCTAGTGACTTAACCAGGGCTATGTGATCTAAGATGGCTTCACACAAATAACATAGAGTATAGCATTGGTTTTCTTCTGAGCCATGTGTCTCCAGATGAGTCCAGGCTTCTTTACCTGGCAGTTGTAGATTTCCAGGAGGGTGATAGCGAGGTGTCTTCAGGACTAGACCTCAGAGTCACACAACGTTCCTTCTGTTGCAAAGCAAGTTAAAAGGCCAGGTCAGATTCAGAGTGACAGAGGGACTCCACCTCTTGTTGGGAGTAGGTGCAAGGAATTTGTAACCATTCTAAATCTACCACATTAACCTTTTGTTGGTAGTTTAAGTTATTTTTAACATGTATTTATCCTTTATTCTCATATATATGTATTCAAGATTACTGATTACATGTTAATTTAATCTCACTCTTTGCTCATAGTTTATTCTATTAGAAAGTAGTTTTCTCTCACCTCATAGAGGATACCTTTCAATCTTCTTTCAAAAACTTGTCATCTCTTGTGTTGATTCTAATAGCTATGAGACTCTGCTGACATACTTTTGGACTTCCATGCTTTAATATATTCCCTGTCTTAAAAGAGATTTTTCTTGTATTTATAATTTTCTTTTTAGCTTCTCCCTTCTTAGAGATCTGAAAAATGAGATCCAAAGAGATTCTTGTGTTATAACCTCCTTTCTTTTTGACTGAGTGTAAGGTCTTGTCTTTAAAAGTTTAAAACTTGACAAATAAGTGTCTGGGGTCATTCTTGAAGGATAATTGCTAAGAAATACTCCGTGCCCTCTTGTTAACCAGACTGAAATCATCTTTCACTTCAGAACATTTTTCTTTGAATTTTTTCCCTCTGATCTTGATTTGTATAGTCCTGGCATTTTCTCTTTTCTTTCTTACCCTTATTATTTCTAAATTGGAAACCTTTTTTTCTGTCTTTAGGCTTATGATTCTAGACCTGTAATATATGTCCATTGGTATAATTGGAATTTTCTGTATTAATGTATTTTTAGAATCCCTGACTTTGTCTCTTCAGTATCAGTTCTGCTCATTGATATTTAGTTTAGTATTTATAAGCTGGGTATAGGTTTATGTATCATTATGCATTTGGAAGATAGTTATTTCTCTTTTAAAAAGCAGACATTACTAGCTCATTCCAAGATACCTCATCTGTGTGTTTAATAAATATATCTTTTTTCCTTTATGAAATTGAGAAGTTATATTTAGAAGAAAGTATAAAGATTATCCATGGTTTTGCCACTCTAGAAAGAATCTGTATTATACCTTATTAACTTGCTTCTTTTCAGCCTTTTTCTAGGAACTTTTATTTGAAGTGTAATACATACATTGGAAAACACACGTATTTTGTGTGTAATTCAGCAAGTTACCAAGTAACTACACTTGTGTAACAACCATTTAGGTTAAGTATGGATCACACTACCAGCATCCCAGAAAGCCTAGTCGTGCTTCCTTCCAAATATCACCCCCTCTCTCCTTCCCAAAGGGAAATACTCTTCCGGTCATTTTGTGTACATGTTCTTCATTGTTGTGATTGTATCACATGTATGCATTTATCTTCTGGGACTTCAAAATATCAGTACTTGGTAATCATAATCTTTTAATGAATGAATTTCCTAGTCTATCCATGATAGGAACGTGTAGGTACTATAAAGTGTGAAAGTGAAAGTATTTATTCTATTAGAAAGTAGTTTTCTCTCACCTCATAGAGGATACCTTTCAATCTTCTTTCAAAAACTTGTCATCTCTTGTGTTGATTCTAATAGCTACGAGACTCTGCTGACATACTTTTGGACTTCCATGCTTTAATATATTCCCTGTCTTAAAAGAGATTTTTCTTGTATTTATAATTTTCTTTTTAGCTTCTCCCTTCTTAGAGATCTGAAAAATGAGATCCAAAGAGATTCTTGTGTTATAACCTCCTTTCTTTTTGACTGAGTGTAAGGTCTTGTCTTTAAAAGTTTAAAACTTGACAAATAAGTGTCTGGGGTCATTCTTGAAGGATAATTGCTAAGAAATACTCCGTGCCCTCTTGTTAACCAGACTGAAATCATCTTTCACTTCAGAACATTTTTCTTTGAATTTTTTCCCTCTGATCTTGATTTGTATAGTCCTGGCATTTTCTCTTTTCTTTCTTACCCTTATTATTTCTAAATTGGAAACCTTTTTTTCTGTCTTTAGGCTTATGATTCTAGACCTGTAATATATGTCCATTGGTATAATTGGAATTTTCTGTATTAATGTATTTTTAGAATCCCTGACTTTGTCTCTTCAGTATCAGTTCTGCTCATTGATATTTAGTTTAGTATTTATAAGCTGGGTATAGGTTTATGTATCATTATGCATTT